TATATATATATATATACTACACAAAAATCCATGTGTATCATACTCCTTTTAAAGTTGCTTATCTATTAAGTTAAATTCAATTGTCTTGCTGTTAATAACTAGATAAACCTCCACTCTGAATATAACTTGAACGAGTGATCATTAATGTTTAAAAGAAAACTTTATATATTTTTATGTATTTTAAACATCTATATACTTGTATAGGGGTGTTTAAAAACCCGACCAACCCGACACGAAATAACTCAACCCGAAGCAACCCGATGTCTAATCGAGTTGTAAAATTGTCAAACCGTAGCTATTGAGTTACTATTATTTGAACCCAACCCAACCCGATATCCTTTTATGTATTGGATTTAATAGGATTGTTGAATTGCTATTAATATGTACATTAGACAATTACATTATCATGTATGCTCCTCATATACACATATTCTCAATCTATTTACATCTTTATATAACTCATTCGTATATATGTTCAATAACTGTGAACATATATATGTGAATTGAGAAAATTAACTGAATGTGATATACGTAAGAAAAATAGATAAGTTGTATCAAATGGTTGATTATGAAAAAGAAATTGTGAGTAGAGAAATAACATATTATATGTTAGAATAATATTTTAATATACCAAAGTATCAACCCGAYCAACCCGTACGGGTTGGGTTGGGTTTYAAGATTTTTCAAACCGCAAGCATTGAGTTRTGTTGTTCAAATGTCTTCAACCCGATCAATCCGACCCATGAGCACCCTTTGTATATGTTTCAAGGGGCCTGTTTAAATAAGAAAAACTAAATATCATRAGAAGGAAAGAATGGAAGGTTCATGCATGAATCATCGAAAAATATCTATTCATATAGGTTATTGCATGCATATTCAAATAGATTTTTTCAACGGTTAACATTAGAACCTTTCCTTAACATTCTTTTGTTATATTTTCACGATATTTAGTCTTTTTATTTGAATTTCTTAGTATATTTAGTCTATAAAATATAGTAAATATAAATATGCATGTTCAGTAATATCTTATGGTTGGATTTCGGTGAGAATAAAAGTTATGGTGAAAAACGGTTTTTTTACCTCTGAATTTGTAGAAACTGTTTTGAATTAGATATCTTTTTTGGCCTTGTCTTTTGTATCCCTATGTGTTGTATGCTTATCTGCTAATTGTTCAACCTATGGTTGGTTGCTGTTGCTGTTGCTGTTGCTGGTGACGTTTGTTGCCAAGTATTGAGATATCGTCACTCTAATTAATAGAAAAAATTTAGTCCAATGACCATTCATTTGTCACTAGATCATGTATTTAATTTGTTGGATCTAAAACATGTAATCTCTAGCTTTTGTCAATGGCACGAGTCCATGGAAAAAAACCCAACCTATTTTTATATTTATTTTGAATGATTAAGTCCCTATTTTTTTAATAAATAAATTCTTGAACTTATTGAAGTCGAACAAATAAATTCTTAAACTTGTTAAAAGSGAAGAAACCCAAGTATTTATTTGTTTGGTTTTTGTAATTTCAATGATTTATTTGTTCGATTTCAATAAGTTCAAGGTTTTATTTGTTAGAAAAAAGGTTAAGGGACTTGGAGTCTATTTGTTAACAACTTAACGAGCTTAAATGACACTCACAATTTATTCAGCTAGCTATACATGTTTGTTTGGTAGTCGCTTAACAATATATAAAGTGGCTTATTCAGTAGCTTCTAGGAGGAGCTTTATGCAGAACGTCAAGTTTTTTCCGAACCTGTCCCTCCCAATTAAACAAGCTCCTTTCATATATGAAAAAGCCTTCCAGACACATTAACCTACATAGACAACTTTATTCATATAACACTTAATAAACAACCAACCAATTGTTTTTAACATTTCCCTTCGTCAATTGATAGAAATATCTTCTTTTTCCCACAAAAAAAAAAGAAAATAATGGTAGCCACTCTGTCCCTCTTGTCTTCCACATATGCTGCCAATTTAGTTGTCTAATTTTCAAACTTCATTTTATTTCTTTTCCACGTTTCTGGTGAATGATGTGATATTTGAATATATATATATATATATATATATATGATTTAATCACCCTATTCTACAAATGCAATTATTAAACTAAACACTTGACTGAGAATCAGGAAACTAAAAGGAAATGAGGTACCACCAAACAAGATATCTGATGAAAGTTTGATTGCCTTTTGGTGTCACTGGTGGCTCTAAAATTCCAACAATTATATCACCTTCCTGTTGGCTTCCCCATCTCCGAGAAAACTGTATCTGACTTGAACCCTTCGCTGGTACTACTAATCGAAGACGTTCCATTTCTCATTGCCGACGATCCCGAGAACACATCGTCATCCGTTGTCGTTGCCTCACCATGCCTCAGAAACGGGACTTCATGATTTTCCAACACCACCCCACCTCCTGTTTTCTCAACACTTTCTTGTACTTCCAATGCTAACTCTAGTTTATAAACGACTTCTTCCATGGTTAATCGATCGCACCCTTTCTCTTTCAAGCAACTATTTGCTACCTCTCCGAACTTCGTTAAGCTCTCCGGTGCAATCTCATCTCTTAGTTTTGGATCAATTATCTGATCGAGGATCCCCTTCCGATAACTATACTTGCCCCATTCTGCCAAACTCGCTTGTTCTTTCCCCCGACCTGGAATCATAGCAGGTCTTGCACACAAAACTTCAAGCAGAACGACTCCAAATGAGTAGACGTCGGATTTATCTGTGAGCTGCTGTCTTTGGTAATATTCGGGATCCACATACCCCATACTACCTTTCACGACTGTGCTAACGTGGGTTTGCGATGGGTCGTTGGGGCCTAGCTTTGACAAGCCGAAATCAGAAACCTTAGCCACCCAATTCTCATCCAGTAAAATATTTGTGGACTTGACATCTCTGTGAATTATCCTGCGTTTCGCACTCGTGTGGAGATAATGCAACCCTCGTGCTGCACCGATGCAAATATGGAGACGCCTTTTCCATGACAAAGGAGGGTTGTTCGACTTGTATAGATGGTCTCGTAGAGTACCGTGAGCCATGTAGTCATACACCAGCACCATCTCTTCATCGTCGTCACAATATCCAATCAAGGACACTAGATGGACATGGCGTAGTTTCGATAGCATCCCTATTTCTGTGAGGAATTCGTGAGAACCTTGGCTGGATGATGAGTTGAGCCGCTTGATTGCAACGGTTGTTGTTCCGTTGTCTATGTACCCTTTATACACCTTCCCGAACCCGCCATGGCCTATAATGCAATTGTCGTTAAACTCACGGGTAGCTGCTTTCACTTCTGTAAGTGAAAAACGACGGCAGCGATCTGATGGCAGTGAAGAGTGGCAAGAATATGTAGATTTTGATTCAAAAGAAGCTGGGCCATAGGATGACTTGTCGTCGGCGCCATAGTTTTTGACTCGTCTCCGTCGTCGGAAAACTATAAGAACTAAAAGAGACAAGAAGACTAACCCTCCCCCAACTCCTCCAATTATTGCGGCATATGGAGTTTTATTCTTGTTCACTTTTATCGGAGATGAGGGCGTTGGCAGTGGGGTTCTAAAACTAAGCTCTGGATTGGGGCTAGCAAGACTACCAACCTTACTCAACTTGAAGGCTTCTAAACCATTCAGATAAGCATCAAGGTATTCTGCCGAGGCACCAAAGTTAGGATGCATCGTCAGCCACAGGTCTTGCTTGCTTTCGCGATTATCTGGATCACTGACAAACAAAACGTAGTCCTTGAACACCGGATTTCCGTTACCTTGAGTCCAGTACAATGGATCAGCCTCCTTCTCAGCAGTTTGATTATTCATGAAAATCGTAAAGACCATCTGACCACTTCTATTGTATTGTGGTATGATATTGCAAAAATGGAGTCTGATCATGTAATAGAACCCAGAATCAACTGGAAGTMTCCAAGTCAGATTGTAGTGTTCCGACAGGTTGCYCATACTCCTTTGGGTAGCATAAACTTGCTCAGGTGCTGTGTAATTAGGTGTCTCCATGGTGTACGTGATCGGAGTCGTTGCACTTGGTGTTAGCCCATAAGCTGCACCGAATATGTAATCAGGATCTGGTTCCCATGATCGATACATGCCGCCGGTGCCGGTATCATCGTTACCGGATATATATCCCCCACCCACGTTTAGCCTGTACATAGTTTCGAGAGCCATGCCGTCAGCAATCTTAGGCCCTGTAGTTAGACCCACGTAGTTCAAGTTCTCACCGTTAAAATACAGATTTTCCGGCATCGAGACAATTTCAATACCGTTGATGAAGGCATACGAGTTGGGTTCGGGTGTAAAGGTAAGGTTCAGGATTTGTGCATCTTTTACATAAATGATGAATTCTTTGACAAAGTAGGAAAGCAGCTGGGCCCCTCCCACTCCGGCATCGGAGCGGATGTTTTCGATGAAGGAGGCCGCTAGGAAAGCGCTGAAGTTGGTTAAGAGAGTGTAGCCATTTGCTGATACGGAGAAGAAAGACTGGTTTGGCTGGAGGTCAGAGTAGGTGGCCGGATAGAAATGAAGACGGAGGAATTTGGGGCCTACGGAGACAGGAAATGTGTAGGTGTATGAAGAAGCGTTAAAGATTCGAGCGGTGGTGTAAGGTATTTGGGAGACGGAAGGACCTTGGACGAAAGGTGTGGATGGAAAGGAGGCGGTGGCATTGTTGGCGGCGGTGAATTTAGAGCCCTCATCGCCATCCCATGATCTCCTGTCGGAAGAGGTGGTGGTGGAGGATGCACCGCACGCAAGGAGGAAGTGATCGGTGGCGTTGTATGGTTGGGCGGTGGTGGTGGTGGTGGTTGAGAAGAAGAGGATCCAAAGAAAGATGAAGGTGAACATGGTGGAAGAGTAGTTTGATCGGAGAAGAAGTGTATTATTGATGTTTATATAAATCATAATAGCAGCAGTGGGCATAGTGAAAGATTTGTCTACTTGCTTCAGGAGTAGACCCGGAAAGTCTTGGTCTTCTCCATTCAATTCACTGATTGGAATGATTCTACCATGGACTTGTACGTCCTGCACTAGGATTTGTACCATAGAAAGGGACATCCTCCCTTCATTGATAAGATTGAATCATTGAAAGCACAAGAAACATCCGTGACTCAAAAAACCATCGCTCTAATTGGTCCCTTCGTTTAACGACCATTAAAAATTCTGTCAATTAAGGCCACTTTCGTTTTTTTATAGATTTTTTTGTCTTTTACGCGATCAAAAACCGTATACACAAAAATCATAAAACTGATTTTGATTGGATAAAAGACAAAAAACCGATAAAAATACAACAATGCCCCTCACGGATTTTTTAACGATCGTTAGAAGGATAGACTAAATTCAAAAGTTCTTGGATACGCTGACGGCTTCTTGTAACTTTGAAACTACAAAGAGGAAAAGTGTTTTTTTAAACAAGCTGTAGGGACCAAATTTATAGTTTACTCTTTTTAAACTCCATTTTAACATTAAAATGGTTAGAATTTCTTCACTTATTACAAGATTGTCATTTGATTAAATTAGATAGATGGTTTAATTGGTTGATATAATACGGTTTTATATGACTTTATGAAAACGATAATGTTTATATTCATAAAAATTAAAAAAAATATATCTATATTAGTATCCAATTAACTATTTAAAAATTCTTGTTTTTTATGTAATTTTTTTAATTCAAATTTTTTATTATGATTTCATTTAAATTTAATAACGAAGTAATTTATTTTGGTTTAACAATATAATTTTTATAAAAATAATAATTAAGGATTCTGTTATAAGTATAACTCAATAATTATCTTGATTATATTTTAAATTTTTTATATTTAAAATGAGTTATGTTTATCTACAGTTAGTTACATGAATTCAAAACTAAAGCTTTAATAAATTGTATATAATTATGCATAATTTACTTGTAATCTTGAATTTTAAATAATATGTATTAATAAACAATACTTGATGTATAAAAATGAATTTATAAATATTTATCAAATGCTTTATAATATAATATAAATATATGACAAAACGAATGAAAACCATATAAATAATGCAAACCCTACAAATCAATTTCATCCGTGATATATACACTTACGTGGACAAGTTCACTTAGTAACCATAAATAATATTCATATACAATATACTTCTATGTTTTTTTTTATTGTTTACAACTATCTCATGTATGAAATAACACACACACACATATATATATATATATATATATATCACCTTCCTGCCGGCTTCCCCATCTCCGAGAAAACTGTTTCTGACTTGAATCCTTCGTAGCTTCTACTAACAGAAGACGTTCCATTTCTTATTGCCGAAGATCCCGAGAACACATCGTCGTCCGTTGTCGTTACCTCTCCTTGCCTCAGAAACGGAAGTTCTTGATTTTCCGACACTGCCCCGCCTCCTGTTTTCTCTGCACTTTCTTGTACTTCCAATGCTAACTCCAGTTTATAAACTACTTCTTCCATGGATAATCGATCGCACCCTTTCTCTTTCAAGCAACTATTTGCTACTTCTCCGAACTTCGTTAAGCTCTCGGTTGCAATCCCATCTCTTAGTTTTGGATCAATTATCTGATCGAGGATCCCATTCCGATAACAATATTTGCCCCATTCTGCTAAACTCACTTGTTCTTTCGCCAAGCCTGGAATTATAGCAGGTCTTGCACACAAGACTTCAAGCAGAACAACTCCAAACGAGTAGACGTCGGATTTATCTGTGAGTTGTTGCTTCTGGAAATATTCGGGATCCACATACCCCATACTACCCTTCACAACCGTGCTAACATGGGTTTGCGATGGGTCGTTGGGGCCTAGCTTTGACAAACCAAAATCAGAAACCTTGGCCACCCAATTCTCATCCAGTAAAATATTTGTGGACTTGACATCTCTGTGAATTATTCTGCGTTTCGCACTCGTGTGGAGATAATGCAACCCTCGTGCTGCACCAATGCAAATATGGAGACGCCTTTTCCATGACAAAGGAGGGTTGTTCGACTTGTATAGATGTTCTCGTAGAGTACCGTGAGCCATGTAGTCATACACCAGCACCATCTCTTCATCGTCGTCACAATATCCGATCAAGGACACTAGATGGACATGGCGTAGTTTCGATAGCCAGGGCCGGCCCTGGGCCTAGGCCAAAGGGGCGACGGCCCAGGGCATCAAAAGTGGAGAGGGCATCAAGATTTTTTAAGCCCAATGCATGTACTAGGTTCAGTTTGGGCCAAATTTTTTTTATTACCGTTAGCCTTTAGAGTCCATTCCACATTTCACAGTTTCACTTACCGAGTTACAGGCCCAGGCTCCTCATATCCATCATCGAATTTCATGATTCATCCTCAATCGCTATCGCTCGCTCTCGCCTCTCGCTCCCGCCCTCGCTCTCGCTCGACGCTCTCTCTCTCTACCTCACTCAGCCTCAGTCGCCGGTCGCTCAAGAGTCAAGCCCATCTCGCCGACTGCCGTTGCCCATCTGCCGTCCGTCTGCCGGTCTGAGAACTGCGACTATCGCTCTCGCCTCTCGCTCTCGGCYTTGACTCTTGAGCCCTTGACACTTGTGAGGTAAGGGACTTAGGGTTATTTTATAAGTTTCTAATTATTGTGTGATTGCAAAACCTAATAATGGAGCTGTGAAATTGGTACTTTGTGGTTTGTCATTTATGTTTCATTTGTTAATCATAGGGCTGTTTAGAAGAGGGTTAGTATTAATATAGGGCAATTTGTTTTAGGGCTGTTAGTATTAGTATAGAAGCTNTATTAGTATAGGGCAATTTGTTTTAGGGCTGTTAGTATTAGTATAGAAGCTGTGAAAGGCCTAAGATTGATGCTTATGTTTTTCTCTTTTATCAGTTTGTCCATGTTGCTTAATCGTTTCACTTTCTTGGCAATTTCACAACACGAACCATGAAGGACCATTTTTGTTACACGGGGTTTTGGTTTATGTCCCCCAATTGCATCATTTTTGTTATATTTAAGGGACATTTTTTGTTTGATTGACTAGGTTCCAAAACCCTTCAAATAGTTTATTTTGGTTTTTATTTACACATATAAGGGGCATTTTTTTGACTTTCCGCCGTGGGCATCCAAAATCTCAGGGCCGGCCCTGTCGATAGCATCCCTATTTCCGTATGGAATTCACGAAAGCCTTGGTTGGATGATGTGTTGAGCCGTTTGATTGCAACAGTGGTTGTTATGTTGTCAATGTACCCTTTGTACACCTTCCCGAACCCGCCACGACCTATAATGCATTCGTCGTTGAACTCACGGGTTGCTGCTTTCACTTCTGTAAGTGAAAAATGACGGCAACGATCTGATGGCAGTGAAGAATGGCAAGAATGTGTAGATTTTGATTCAATAAAAACTGGGCCGTAGGATGACTTGTCGTCGGCGCTGTAGTTTTTGACTCGCCTTCGTTGCCGGAAAACTATAAGAACTAAAAGGGACAAGAAGACTAACCCTCCCCCAACTCCTCCAATTATGGCGGCATATGATGGAGTTCTATTCTTGTTCCCTTTTATCGGAGATGAGGGGGTTGGCAGCGGGGGTGTAGGACTAAGTTCTGGATTGGGGCTAGCAAGACTACCATCCTCACTCAACTTGAAGGCTTCCAAACCATTCAAATAAGCATCAAGGTATTCTGCCGAGGCACCAAAGTTAGGATGCATCGTCAGCCACAGGTCTTGCTTGCTTTCGGGGTTATCTGGATCACTGACAAACGAAACGTAGTCCTTGAACACCGGATGCCCCTTACCTTGAGTCCAGTACAATGGATCAGCCTTTTTCTCAGCAGTTTGATTATTCATGAAAATCGTAAAGACCATCTGACCACTTCTATTGTATTGTGGTATGATATTGCAAAAATGGAGCCTGATCATGTAATAGAACCCAGAATCAACTGGAAGTGTCCAAGTCAGATTGTAGTGTTCCGACAGATTGCCCATACTCCTTTGGGTAGCATAAACTTGCTCAGGTGCGGTGTAATTAGGTGTCTCCATGGTGTACGTGATCGGAGTCGTAGTATTTGGTGTTAGCCCATAAGCTGCTCCCAATATGTAACCATCATCCAGTTCCCATGACCGATTCATACCAGTATCAGCGTCACCGGATATATACAGCCCACCCACGTTTAGCCTGTACATAGTTTCGAAAACCATGTCGTCACCAATCCTAGGCCCTGTAGTTTGACCCACGTAGTTCAAGTTCTCATCGTTAAAGTACAGATTTTCTGGCATCGAGACGATTTCAATACCGTTGATGAAGGCATACGAATTGGGTTCGGGTGTAAAGGTAACGTTTAGGATTTGTGCATCTTTTACATGAATGATGAATTCTTTGACAAAGTTGGAAACCTGGGCCCCTCCATCTATGGCATCAGAGCGGAAGTTTTCGATGAAGGAGGACGCCAGGAAAGCGCTGAAGTTGGTTAAGAGAGTGTAGCCATTTGCTGATACGGAGAAGAAAGATTGGTTTGGCTGGAGGTCGGAGTAGGTGGCKGGATAGAAATGGAGACGGAGGAATTTGGGGCCTTTGGAGACCGGAAATGTGTAGGTGAACGAATAAGCGTTAAAGATTCGAGCAGTGGTGTAAGGTTTTTTGGAGCCAATAGGACCTTGGGAGGAAGGTGTGGACGAAAAGGAGGTGGTGGTGATGTTGGGCGGCGTGAATTTGGAACCCTCATCGCCCTGCCATCCGTCGGCCGTGGAGGATGAACCACAAGCAAGGTGGAGGTGATCGGTGGCGTTGTATGGTTGGGCGGTTGTGGCGGTGGTGGAGAAGAGGAGGAGCAAAGAAAAGATGAAGGTGAACATGGTGGTTGAAGAGTAGTTTAATCAGACAAGTGTATTCATGATCTTTATACAAATCATAGCAGCAGCAATGGCCACGGCGAAAGACTCGTCTACTTGCTTCAAGAGTAGACCAAAGTCTTCTCGGTCGTTTCCACTCGTTAATAGCGTTTTCAACGAAAGACTTATTGATTCGACCACATTAGAAGAATACACAAGACTCGTGAAAGTACAAAACGTGGGTTGTTATAAGTCACTCGATTGGATTAGAGTATGATTCTACAACGGGGGGGACTTGTACCTCCTGCAATTGGGGTTGTACTATAGAAAGTGAAATGTTGGCGTGTGGAATTTTGTTTTACAAAGGAGATGCTTTATATGGTTTTCAGTTGGAAAATTCATTTGAATGGGTCAAATCCGTCAATAGTTCAAACTGGATAAGCAATTGCATGGCTTTGGAGTGAAGACACCTCCACCATCCCTCAAAATCATTTCATTAAATCAAATATCCTCTGGTTTAAAATACACAAACAATCAATGAAACGTCAATTAAAAAAGAATACTTGCATAAAACTCACCTCGATTTATTTGAAGATGGAGAGTTTTGAAGGAGACGAAGTAACATACTTTTATTTTGAAGATTAGTTTCGGAGCGATACGTAGGGTTTCATACCTAAAGAAAGTAAAGGATTCCTTAGATGGAAAAAGGTGGTAAACAAAACTATGTTCAACGGTATGTGAGTCATTGTTCTCTTAGGAGGTTAAAGGTTCAAACCTCACCAAATACGATGAAGGTGTGTCAGTTTATTTGTTTTATTTGCCGTATATAAATAATATATACTTCAAAAAGGAAAAACCACGCCTACATTACTAAAGGCGCATTTTGGTTTGATGAAATGACTTCTAGAGATTTGAAATCTTTGATGTTTTTGGTTTGTAGGATTTAGAGACGTCTGGATACACATAAGCTAACTTATTGAAACGCTATTTAGAGTAACACTTTAATAGCCCATTGTCACTTTTTTCAAGTATAACTCTCATTAATATTAGTTATAAATAAATGTTAATGAAGTTTATATGTTATCGATATTAATAAATAATAATTAATATAAATTAAAAATTAATTCTAGTTATATATTATTCATGAATATTATTTATAACTAGAAGCGTACTCGCGCAATGCAGCGAGATAAATCGTGTTTTTAATATTTCATTTTATTTTTTATCTCAGTCGATGTTATAATATGGCTTTATATGATTTTGAGAAAGCGATGATGTTTTTATTTTTGAATAAAATATATGTTTGACGATATCATAAAAAATTGACAAAAATATATCGATATTAGTATCAAATTAATTATTTGAAATTCCTCATTTTTTTGTGTAATTTTTAATCCAATTTTTTTATAATTTAATTTATGTACAATAACGAAGTAATTTATATTTGGTTTAATAATATAATTTTTTATAAAGATAATAATTATTTTTTTTGTTGGAACTTGATAATTATTCTAATTATATTTTAGATTTTTTATATTTTAAAATGAGATGT